ATTCAGGCTAAATTTGAAACTCCTGTAAATTCTCCGTATGTGTCTGAGTGAATCTGCCAGATGTGAGTTTAGGCCAAATTATGAATTATGTCCATGTTCCCTGGTGTCAACCTGAGCTTGTCTGAATCCATGTAACTTAGGATCTTTGGTGACTGTCAAAAGCAGTGAAAGATTAACTTTAGTGCACGTGTGCAGGGAGAGTGGCACTAAACTGGAGCCCTGTAGTCCCTGTTTGTCCTGTCTGCCTTCCTGACTTGCTTTATCTTCCATGCCACCCATTTATAACAAGCCCTTATGATGCACTCAGCAAATATCATTCAATTAAAGTATATCACGGAAGAAAAATAAGTCATTTTCAGTAAACGTAGGCGGGGTTAAATGATACCATATGCAAACATGAGCTTTAACAATCCTGTATTATGTCAACACAAGGGACCAATGGAATATTGATGAATTAATACAGAGTTCTGTGTGTCTGCATATTTCTGCCATGATGCAGAAATGGCATTGAACTGGCTCTGCATGTTAAGGAGACTGGAAAATTAAATTCTGACAACACATTGCAAGACCCGCAAAAATTTTGAAAGTCCTTTATGTTTTTTTGTGCTTGGAAGAGTTGTTGACTGTGAGAAAACCTTGTATCTGCCAATAACAGTGAATGGGCAATAACACATGGCACTGTATAGTCTCATAACCTTGTATGTTTTGTTAAAGAACCATCAAAAATGCCAAATGATTTCAGCAACTCAAACATCGCTTTGTCAACATTTGGATTTTTTAATGTCGAGTTTTCTGGTACAGCGAGGATACCGCAAACAGAATGTTGCATAAGCTCAATTTACAACGTGCTGTCAAATTGTCTCAATGTAAAAAAACAAAGGAACCATTATGCACCCTCTATTGATAGAGAGCGAGGTTGGCTTTTAGCAGTTGGGAAACCTAGAAAGCTGAGGAGAGTGGAGATGTTTTCAAATTTAATAACAGGATCTCATTTGATTTTTTTTTCTCCCGGTGGTTGACATTACGAATGATAGGTTAACTAGCTGTCAGGAAGATCACTGATGGATAGAGGAGGAAAGTGAAGCTCATGGTTGGAGAGGGGGGAAAAATGTCATGGGTGGCAGTTCACCAGAGGAGAAATCTCTTGGATTCGAACTTAAGTGTCAATTGTAAGTGGAGCTAAAGTGCCAATCATGGGTAGGAAGACTTAGGAACCATAGGTAATGCACAGTAGAGCTTTCCTGTCCAAAAGCAGCACTGGACAAAAACTTACCCTACAGATTTAGCAGTTCCAATCACTATTTAGCTGCCGGTTTCCTGGGCCTTTGGAAACCCAGAAGCTTCAACCCACCTGAGTGAATAGGCTGCATGCATGCGGTTTGGTCTGGAGGCACAAGTTCTCAAGGACTATATATTAAGTAGTCATTTAGGGTTATCTGAGAACACATCTGGATTTCATCATGTGTCCATAGGTCTCTTGAGATCCTGAAAACTCAGCAGTGAAAACAAGACAGAATTTATGCAGGAATTGAGGGAGCTGAACCTATTCCAGGGAACTATTGCTAAGAAATACACAGAAACCTTAACATTAAAGCCCAGCAACACTACAATGAATGTTATGTTACCAGCAAGGTACCCTGGTAACATAACTGAGCAGACTATTGACATATTGATGAATGTGCAGCGCAATGAAGATGGAGACCCCCTTAAGCACACCAAGTGTGTAGAATGGTCTTGGGTTTCTAATATTTATGATTTGCATATAAAATCTTAGACAGACCTGGGCAAGCGTATTTTCAATTTCTGGCTTTGAATCATTCTGAGGTAACTTTTTTTTAGCAATGTGGTATTGTAGCAATCAATGAGTTCAAAAGTGCAGTGATTTCCTTCTCACTCATTTAAACTTATTTATGGACAAAGCAGAAAATAATGATGAGTGTAAAAACTCAATAATGTTATTCTTTGAGTGACAAATATACTGTTGTTGTAATTCTTTTGTGATGGACTGGATATTACATTAACATCCATTATGTCATGAACATCCTTCGTTGTGAAACACAGGAACACGCCTACCAAAAGCTTCTGTTCCTAAGATGCTGCTTGGCCTGCTGTGTTCATCCAGCTCTGCACCTTGTTGTCTTGGATTCTCCAGCATCTGCTGTTCCTGCTATCTCCGTTCCAATAATACATCTTCAAAGAATGAATGCCAAGTTTAAACCTTTCAATGAAGTTTTGATTAATTGTGCTTATTGCTTTTCTTCGATTTCCAGTGTACTTTGTAGCACACAATGAGAAAACAAACTCACAAGCATCAGACATGTACTTAAACAAATAACGAACACAAATTACACCAATCTCAATGATGTTAACTTACTCATTCTATGTGGTTCTACGATAGACTGATGTCTCTAACTAACCATCTGCAAATCAGTCCCAAAACTCTGTATATGGGAAAATAAGATCATGCTTCATAGCCAGTCATTGCAGAGTGCAGGTTCTGGCAATGAACACTATGAGCTGAATCTTACATTGTTTTCGCTAACTCTGAGTTGTGTTGAGTTTTTTTTAGAGAGTTTGTCACCCTGAGGCCTAACAAGTTTTCTCACATATGTTGCCAAACCTGCCCCATTAATTACCTACCAAGCCTCTACAAGTTTCTCTCTCCACACAGTTTTCAGAACCTTGTGAAATGTTTTGATGAATTTTATGAATCACTGAGTTCCAGGAGCACGCAGATGTCACATTCTGTTCTCTGCCAAACCCATTTAGTAGCTGCTCAATAATAAGTACATAAAATTGGAATGAGTGAACTTGGTTGACAATTCTCCCCACTCCTGTTTGCTTGGCTGAAACCTACTGTGATTGGAACTGCAAATGGAAACCCACTTCCCGTCAACATTTGGTTTTTGTTCAACCACTTGTCTGATGTGCACCAAGCTATCGCCATGTTTAAAAAGCTCCAAATCAAACTACTAATCGGGTTTCAGGCTCAGTCTTGTTTTGGCTAAGTCTGAGTTGCTTCAGCTTTTTTGGAGGGTTTCTTGCTTCGAGGCCTATTGAGGTCTTTTGCCCTACCTTACTGATCTCAACTCATTAATTGCTCACCCTGCCCTATGACATTTCTCCCATCAGATCTTTTTCCATCCTAACACACGCTGTTCCTGGAATAACCCACCACTCATCAAGTATGTCCCAAGCAGGGCCTGAACTGGTATTAGAGGCTGCCTTTAACTTAATGTGCTGGGAAACCTTAACTGAAGGCTATCCCCTTTGACTTGACTGAAGACCACAGTAACATGAGCCTCGTATTTCTGACTGAGGGGGCAAAGCTGTAAAAGGCAAGGCAAGACAATACAAAGCAACAAGGTAGACTCAGAGTGAGTTAGCACTATGAGAGCAGGCAAAGAGCCTGGAGATGCAGTCTTCTCTAGTCCATGAACTAGGTGGATGCCTGTGACCACACAGTGTCCTTGCTGCAGCATTACAATTATAGCTGCTGTTATAGCCCAAGGTAAAGCATTGAAGTGCAGAAGCAGCCTGTGAATGGATCAGAGATACGCCATGAGTGTTCTTAGAGAGTGACACCTGTTTGACGCCAATGTCAATGGATGTGGGATGCACATTGAGCATGCCCTGAGATGTTGGTGCCTGACTTTTAACATGGAGTTTGTCTGGAGCAAGCAGTGAGTTGAAGATGGCAGATACTGAGACTGGTCTTGTTGAGTTTACGCAACATCGAGCTTATTTGGTGAGTTTAGTAAGATGGGAAGCTGAATATTATCGAGGCTCGTTGTAGTGTGAACCAGCCATCGGACAATCATCGTCAATTGGCAGCTCACCTCTGCCTAGTGAGAAACTCACCATGCCACTTGAGAAAAACATAAAGGATGGAGTGAGATGCACCCGACGTCAAGATGGGGTCTCGCTGCAGTTGACACCTGATTCTGCCACACATTTCACTGTACACCATACCACTCAAACTTGTATAAGATTCGGATCTCTGTTATCCTGGTATAGAGTTCACTCTGGAGGGCCACAACCACATTACCTACATTCTGAAAGTTTAGTGACAAACTGGTGTCACTTAAGGGTTAAGAACCGACATGTATTTGTAGTGGTACTTCTGGAGTTTGATAACTATTACCGGACAGTTTGACAGCACAGCTCTGTGGCAGATTTGTCACTTTTTATCAATTGTCCCCAGCTAATGCAACCTTAACTTGCAGGGCTATTTGTAACTAAATGGGAAGTGTCTCAGACCCCTGGTCAAATGTCTACCTATTCAGGTTCTGTTTATCAGTCAAGTTTGTCAATGTTCAATAGTGCCCTGAAGATTAAGTAGATGTCAGGATCAAGTATTGGATTATGAAGTCTGTTACCTAGGGCTGACCATTAATATTAGCAGTCTTCCCTTTGCAGTTATGTCATTCTGGAGGTCATCTCACTCTAATACAAGCCCTATTCAAACCCCTTTCAGCTCTGAAGAATAATCATATCACACAGAAAATATCTGCATAGATGCAGTCAAAGCCACCAAATTTCCAGCACCTTCTGTTTTTATGCCAGAACTTCAAACTTCTGCATATTTTCCTCTTATTTTAGTTATTTTTTACTATTGAACTGCCAAGACTAAACCCTTATGAATGCTTTATTACGTAATACCTTAGTCTAGTTAATACTTTGCTATCCTAAAAGTGTTAGAAATAATATCATTGCCTGATTGTGTCATTCAGAGATTTTAAAACTACATTAAATAAATTGGATTAAATAGTTTTAAAGAAAGACATAGTCATTTGTTTAGATTCTAAAAAGGAAAAAAAAAATCAAGAAACAAGATTTTGTAACCTGGCTAATTTGCCGGTGCTCTCATATTAACAATTCCTCTAAATTTCTATCTCTGATTTACTGATTAACAATTAATTGTAATTTATCATTATGCAATCAGCTAAACAAGAATATCTGCTTTAGTGATCATTTTCTACTGGTTAAATTTCAAATAGATCCTTCATCATCAGCTACCCCTTGATTTGAGGATGATGATCTACTCAGGGTCATGAATTTCTGCTGTGGCTCTTCCTGTGACTGGTCAAGTCGATTCCTGATTCTGAGATCTTGAGGTATGTCGGCAAGTTTACCCCACAAGGTATTGAGATCGGGAGTGCAGGATTTACCATACCATCACTTTGCCTCTTCATTGAAATACTGTCCTCAAAGTATGGCACAGCTTAATGGACAAATTGTCGCTACTTTGAAAGATTGGTAGCCAGTTCCTCCCAGTGTCAATGCTGTCCTTCAAGGAGAGTTCCAGAATGTCTTTGAAACATTTAGTTTGATCTCCTCAGAACGGTCCATTAGTTGACAAAACAAGATCTGAGGTGCTTTTGAGCCAATTGGACACATGTCAATCCATCAAAGTTGATTTTGCAGCTGTTTTGCCTAAGTAAAGCATTATTCAGCTCCATATAGAATATATGGAAGAACTTTTGGTTTTGCGCTTTCTCAGTTTTTTTAAACAGCTGTAATGGTTAATGCAGCTGAATTCTTAATCCTGTTTTTGAGTTCTTCTAAACTGGGATTGAGTCCAGAAATGTTGATGCTAAACTTGTATCTTCTTGCATCTGTCAAAGCCTACATATATACGAGTAAGTACATTTGTCAAACTTAGCAAGTTTCTATGGTCGACCTATTCTGAATTTGTCAGTTTGAAATTGTACCACAACTGCAGCTGTCACAGATTATGACCTCAACACAAGGAATAATGTGTGTTATGATGCATTATGGAATGCTTTACCCCATTCTCTGAGCCAATATGCGTGAACAGTGTGTTACATCTGCTGGTCCTGGCCCACTGACTGAGAAATCTGAAACATAAAATAAATTAAAGTAATAAGAGAAATAAGATGGTGAGTCATATTGGAACCTGGCCATTTGTGGTACAGTCCCCTTGTTAAGTGCATACATTTTAAACAGACTATATTATCCTTTTGTCATCTTTCCTCCCTCCACTACCCCAGAAAAGCCCAAATTTTGACAAAATACTGATTTTCCATGCTCTCATTAAGAAACTAAGACATTTATTATCAATTCCAAAGTGTGTCTGTAGTGAAGTGTTTATTATTATTCCCTTTTTGCAATCTAAAGCATGTTCACAGGGGTGCTATTTGATGAATGAATGTTGAATGAATGACTTGCAGACAGTTCTGCTTCTATCATCTCAGCTAATATTCAGAAAAGGCATCTCGAATATGCAGACGAAATGAATACTGGCTGTTTTAAAATGTACTGGAGGTTGCTATTCAGTGCTATTTATTGATGAACATCATGCAACACAGTCTGGAGTTTATATATGTAGCAGTGCAGATGACATGAAGGTTAGGGATGAGAATTCAGATTCAGTTCGGATTCAGAAACCAATAGCAGATTATTTAAAAGTAGGCTGTTTTATCTCCTACGAATACAGAAAGGAACAGAGTCCCCAGTCTCTGCTCAGTGAGCTGATTTCAGTTCATGCAGCTGTTGGGTTCTACATCTGACTGTAGTGCCCCTGGGTTAAGGAAAGGAGAATTAGTCATAGTTTTCACTCCTGATTGCTATACAGAGACTCATACTGAAAATGCATGTTAGTGCTGCATGAGAAGACAACTGAGCCTTATACGTCCTTCACATTCTGATAGTCTCCTGTCAAGACTGACTCATATATAATGATGCTTCAGCATAATATTGAGGTCCACCGCAACCTGTAGAATTGTATCCAAGTGAGGGAGCCATTGGCATCAAGAAAGGAAGGGAAGATATTGAAGAAAAAAGGACCATGAGGCCAATGTAAGATTGTGAAAATGTGGGAATGGGGTGTGAGGATGTGGGGTATTAACATTGCTGAAGGGTGGAAACCAATTATTCATCCTGTACCCTGCAGAATGTGGTGATTTTAACCATCACTAACATGCCATCGCTCGACTGCCTGTGAGGTATAAGTATAAGCTGCAGAAAATTGAATGATTCATGACTACAGTCTAGCACTCAGGTCCCAAGGAGTGTTGAGTAGGTTAGGTTTGGCAGGTGGGGAATAGGGTTTACTTAAAGCTTCTTTGTGGCACCAGACAAAGTTCCTCCTCGCATCACAAAAAGAGATAACCTTATGTCACAACATATGAAGGAGGCCTCTTGATCCTAATCGCACTGTTCTTCACACTGGGAAAGCCTTGACAGGTTTCCTGCACAAGCCCAGGTTAAAATTGCTGAAGGAGCCTGATAGCTATCAGGGCTCCAGTTATCATGTGAACTAGAACTCTGCGAGTTTTTAGTGGCTGGTTGGCCATTGATCCAGAAACATCTGGTAAAATTGCAAATGTTGGTATCCAGGTCACATTCTGGATGGTAACAAATAACTGCCAATTAAGGAAATAGAAGATCAATCCCCTTAATTCACTGTAAGACACACCTCTACCTGCAGGTAATATATAACGTACCCACAGGTACTATATAACATACCCACGCTCAAAGTTAATTGGCTAGTGAATTCCTATTTGCTAAATTAAATTGCTGAAAAGAATTGATGTTTGAAGGCTGTCAAATCAACTGCAGTTTTAGATGATGACAAGGTGCAGGGCTGGACGAACACAGCAGGCCAAGCAGCATCACAGGAGCAGAGAGGCTGACGTTTCGGGCCTAGACCCTTCATCAGAAAAGGGGGAGGGGAAGGGGGTTCCGAAATAAATAGGGAGAGAGTGGGAGGCGGATAGAAGATGGATAGAGGAGAGGATAGGTGGAGAGGAAAGAAACAGGTCGAAGAGGCGGGGATGGAGCCAGTAAAAGTGAGTGTAGGTAGGGAGTTAGGAAGGGGATAGGTCAGTCCAGGGAGGACGGACAGGTCAAGGGGGCGGGATGAGGTTGGTCGGTAGGAGATGGAGGTGCGGCTTGAGGTGGGAGGAGGGGATAGGTGGGAGGAAGAACAGGTTAGGGAGGCAGGGACGAGCTGGACTGGTTTTGGGATGCAGTAGGGGGAGGGGAGATTTTGAAACTTGTGAAATCCACATTGATACCATTGGGCTGCAGGGTTCCAAAGTGGAATATGAGTTGCTGTTCCTGCAACCTTCGGGTGGCATCGTTGTGGCACTCCAGCTCCACCACACCCAGCACTTTTCCCTGCAACCGCAGGAAGTGCTACACCTGCCCCCATACCTCCTCCCTCACCCCCATCCCAGGCCCCAAGAAGACTTTCCACATCAAGCAGATGTTCACCTGCACATCTGCCAATGTGGTATACTGCATCCGCTGTACCCGGTGTGGCTTCCTCTACATCGGGGAAACCAAGCGGAGGCTCAGGGACCGCTTTGCAGAACACCTACGCTTGGTTCGCAATAAACAATTGCACCTCCCAGTCGCGAACCATTTCAACTCCCCCTCCCATTCCTCAGACGACATGTCCATCCTGGGCCTCCTGCAGTGCCACAACGATGCCACCCGAAGGTTGCAGGAACAGCAACTCATATTCCGCTTGGGAACCCTGCAGCCCAATGGTATCAATGTGGATTTCACAAGTTTCAAAATCTCCCCTCCCCCTACCGCATCCCAAAACCAGTTCAGCTCGTCCCTGCCTCCCTAACCTGTTCTTCCTCCCACCTATCCCCTCCTCCCACCTCAAGCCGCACCTCCATCTCCTACCGACCAACCTCATCCCGCCCCCTTGACCTGTCCGTCCTCCCTGGACTGACCTATCCCCTTCCTAACTCCCTACCTACACTCACCTTTACTGGCTCCATCCCCGCCTCTTCGACCTGTTTGTTTCCTCTCCACCTATCCTCTCCTCTATCCCTCTTCTATCCGCCTCCCACTCTCTCCCTATTTATTTCAAAACCCCCTTTCCCTCCCCCTTTCTGATGAAGGGTCTAGGCCCGAAACGTCAGCCTCTCTGCTCCTGTGATGCTGCTTGGCCTGCTGTGTTCGTCCAGCCCTGCACCTTGTTGTCTCGGATTCTCCAGCATCTGCAGTTCCTACTATCTCTGATGCAGTTTTAAATGATACTTATTAAAATCCACACCCCGGTGTGCTTTGTGCTCTCTTCCTAGAAGTGCTGCTGTAAACTCTTTAAAACAATAGCAAAGGGAACAACGTCTGCCCTAACTCAATTTTCAGCGAGTATCACCCAGTTAGTACAGAGACCAATTTGTAGACAATTTGTACCTAGTCTGCCACAGGTCTGGTCTTTACAATAGCATTGTTATTTACCCTGCAGTTGGTACTACTTATTAGTTTAGAAATTATAGACTTTGCCCTATTTACAGGTTAACTGACATTATTTAAGGATTTTTGAAACTACTCATAGTTATGTTAACTCATCATTCTACTATTTCCTGGATCTGCGCTAAAATGTATATTGTAACATTCACCTGGCAACAGAATCAACAATCCCGAAAATCGATTGTGAACTATGAGACACTTAAAATGCTGAAACAGCCAAGGGCATTGATTTAATAAGCAATGTTAATGTAGAATTGAATCTTGCAAACCAAGAAAAGTCAGGTTTAGTGATCAGACCTGAAAGTTTTAACTGGAAGGAGTTAGAAGTCAAGGGGTGAACAGATAGACTCAATGGGATATTCCCATCTGAGTGACTCTCAGGTGAAACCAGGACCAGTACTCGCTCTCTAATGAGAGAGTAGTCCTATAGTTCGGCAGAATTATGGCAACTTTACCTTTACCTTTTCATAAGATATTGATAAACTCTAGATCCGAGACAGACATGGAAGGAAATGGCAGAATGCATTGCCCAAGTCTCGTAAGAACTAGTAAGAAAGTAAGGGCTAAACATTCAATTCCTCAAATATCAAGAGTGGAGGTGGTAATGGACAATTACCGCATGAGTTTAATGTGAAAGAACCCTTAGGAGGCAGTGATCATAATATGATAGAATATACTCTGCAATTCGAGAGGGAGAAGGTGGAATAAGATGTAACGGTATTACAGTTGAAGAAAGGCAACTATGGAAGCATGAGGGAGGAGATGGGCAGAATTGACTGGGAGAGGAGCCTAGCAGGAAAGACAGTAGAACAGTAATGGCAGGGGTTTCTGGGAGTAATCCGGGAGCCACAGCAAGAATTCATCCATAGGGAAAAGA